AAGGTTCAATCCACTCAAAAACATCCACAAGTCACTTTAATGTTTCTTCTTTAAGATGAAATCAGCTTTTTACCCATTTTAGGCTTTTGACTCTTTCATAGACGTTCGGATTATAATCAGTGGTGGAGTGTAACTAAATACATAGGCTCCGGCTTCCCTGTGCCCCTGAATTGGATAAGGGGATGGATGGAAGTTGTGTAGGCACAAGTAATTAATTCTGGGAACCCACTGGGATGTCTGATAACTTAGCCACTGGGTATAATGGCTAATTTTGTGGTACCAGCCAGGCCACGATTTCCATTTTAAATTTTTTTATAATTAATAAAAAACTAACTGTCATAAGATACTACACAATGGTTATCTAATATACTTTGACAAATGTAATCCTGCATTTCCTCTCTACATGAACTGTTTACCCGCATCTATCCAAAGCCTGGAGTACAAACAGAAACCAAAAGGCTTCCTGTCCCAAAAATGTCTTCATACTCATACAGAATCTGTTTATAGGGATCGTTATAAATTTAACACAAGTAGAGCTCAAACATTAAGTTATAGAAGTTAATTATTTTTGCCCCATGTCCTTTAAATTGTTTTATTAGCATGTTTTCTCCTACAGTTTTTACTCGATCAAATAAACACTCACTCTCTTTAACACCAACATTACTCTCGGTTGTCTAAATGTACAAACGAAACAATGGATCTGTGCTTTGTAATCAGCGTGAAGTTTGCAAAATGTGCACAATTACTATCAAGGGAGCCAATTCTGCTCACATCCTGCTTCATATTTTTGTTCTCTGCCAAAATAGCTTTGCATGATTTAAAGTTCAAAATAATCCTTACTTATTTTAAACTGGATGTTGCCTTGAAAATAGAATATATTTAAAGGCAGGTGGGCGGGGCTTCTGTGCTCTCTGAATGAAAAGACCATATGAAGGATTTCCTTTCTTTGTGACTTCATACAGACCAAAGCTGAGTATTGTGACTTTCCATCACTGTAACAGGATATATGACAGAAAATAAGGATTTACAACAGGTCCCCTTCGAGTTAACGCAGGACTTCTTTCTTGTGTTTAGTACTTTTTCTTAAGTAAAGATCTGAAGTGTTCGTCCACCACTGATCATAAAAACTGCTCAGTCGAAAAAAGTTCATGCGCACTTTCAAATGATACAAACCATAAGGTCTATGTAAGTCTAGCGTGTAGCACAGGGTAGTTTCATATAAATATGACTTCAAGTTCTGGAGAAGCAGCTGCTGCTTATAGATGAAGTTTCCCTCTCTGATGGAGTCTCTGCTGTGGAAGCTGATGCTCACAGAAAATGCTGATCAGTAACCA